AACAAAAAACAAACAACAAACAAAACAAAAACCAACCAATCCACCCCCCAACTTTTAGTTTTAATCCTCTAGCCTACCGCATAAGAAGTTTATGTCATGTTTTTGTAACAATTTTGCCTAGTAGGTCTTACATTACTTAAAAACTGTAAGAACAAAATTGCATTACAAAATTAAGGTAAAAATTCAGTTTGAATATCTATCAAATGATGAACAATGTGTGTTCTATGAATTGGAACTACTTCCCCGATACCCAAATTAGGCTTTAATTTTTTGTCTTATAACAGGGTAACAAACACACTTTCTTTCCCTGAAAACTGTTATTACTGTCAGGCAATCTAAAAAGCTAATTACTTGCTTTGAAATTCTAAATTTCTAATATTTTTTTTTTTTTTTTATTACTCTTATCCAAAATTTTAGGATAAATCAAACGTTGATAACACAATCCCAGGTGATTAAACATGTGAAGTCCTAGTAATAGGGGGAAAATCTTACCTGTTGGAACAAATAAAGTGTGTCCTTGCTTCACAACACATTTGTAGCATTTGTCAACCTTGTCCCCAAAATATACTTCACTCTGGGTGACGGATGAACTCCAAGACTCATACAGAGCCAAATTTTCATCGGTAGGCTTGATCAAATAGAATATCTTCTCACCCTATTAAATAAAAATATCAAATAAATCAATCAGCGTCCGCCTAGTGGCATACTACAACCTCTGAGTCATTCCTAATAAAGTAACAGATTGATCTAAATGCTAAGTATTCCATATCTCCACTATGGAACATTGGGGCTTCCTAGCCCCAGTGTTTCACAACTGTAATCCACCAAAAGTTTAGTCTGTAGCACACTGACCTGTTGGTGTCTTGTGATGCAAAGAAGCAAACAAAACAAACTAAAAACTTTTCATTGGAGTATAAAACATTCCAGCTTTTATAAACAATTTATGGATATGTGCACACATGCCAAATGAGAAACATAAGATGAAACTGCTTTGCCTTTTCTGTGATGTATACATGGTCAAAGTTTGCAAGAAGAATAAAAAGTTGAGTATGTCAATGATATTCATTCATTTTTTCATACTAAAACCTCACTATATCACCTACCAGTCTACTAAAATGATCAGTTAACCAATTATAGTCTAGAAGTCACCAACAGCATTCTAAAATAAAAGCTTAAAAATGCAAAACCAACAACCAGTAATTCACTTTCAAACTCCTCCCCCGGCTTTTTAAGCACAAAGTTTCACACAGGTGATAATTCTAAAGAGGTGATAATGCCATGGCAGAAAGCTGCACACTGAATAAATTTTGTTTCGCACAGTCATAAATCAAGAAGCCTTCATACCCAGAGAACATGGTACCAAACTGATGTTCCTCCAAAATCGATATGAAAATCAGTATAGCTGTCCTGGACACCCATCAAGCAATACTTCTGAACAAAAGGCTTAGGGAAGACAGAATCATCTGGCCAATAATTTTCCACCCAGGAAAGCTTCCTGGCAATATCTGGTACTTCCACTAATTCAGACATCCTTTTAAAACAAAGAAGCAAACAAGAACCATAAATATAATCAAGAGTAAGAATACCTCTTTTAAAATGACAGCTTTATATTTTTGTTTCCTACAAAGTTATTACTTACAAATTAGTAAAAAAGTTTTATACACGCATAACATCACAGTAGCTGTCTACATAAAATATGCAGCCTCCTTTCTTTCCCACTACAGACATTATATTCCTGCACGTACTGTTCAACTTAGTGAAAATCACTTCCTACATTCAAGGAATTGAAGTCAATACTCACTTTGTGTCCGAGAATTCCAGGCTGATCACATTCAATACTTTTGGTCGCTCAGGATTTGTGAAATATTTAATATAATTATGGAGCTTCATTTTACTGTCTGCTTGTCTTGCTACATCTATTACATCTATCACTTTGTCACCACCTGTGAAAAACAGGATGACTTTCTTAAACCTTTCACAGAAAAAAACAGCCAATTAAGGTGTTTAAAAGAGACTTAACTTTATTCCAGCCTTTATCAAAGCAGTTCTGCACAAAAACTCCACTACTATCAGTATTCTCTTGTAACACGGACAGATCAGTATAAACCAACTTTTTATTAGGTCTAACTTTAATTGCTATAATCAGCTAAGGACAGAACTGAAAACACTCTAAAAAGAAATCTTCTTTCCTGTGGTTAACCAAAAAGAAAAAGCAGTATAGAACGACTGCAACTGGTTTAAAAACAAAATTGGGTTTGTGGCTGCAACTGGAAAAACTAGCCTAGAGAAAATTATCAAGGCAGATTTATTCCTCCCTCTTCCTATTAATCATCACCACAGCACTTGAATATTTAACACAAGGACCACTGAGAATTCTTTCCAAATAATAAATCCTCCTGCTCACAGCTTGCAATTCTTGCAACAAACTGCACTAAACTTGTGCCATAACTGGTAAGTTTTTAACGTTAAAAACTACACAGGTACTCCTTCGCAAACATTCTACAAGGCCACCCGCACCCTCCTTATATACATGCATAATTTTTAAGCACACAGTAATTTCATTGAATAACTGTCATGAGTGTGCTTCATTTTCTGAAGACAACAAAGACTGGTTTACAGATTGTGCATTTTATCTGTAGAACAAGACAAGCAGGAAACAACCTTTAGCCAAGAGAAAGGACTAACAACAATACTGTAAATGTAATTGGTTCATGTCCATTTAGTTATACAAGGGTCAAATCTGACAATTTTGGAAGGCTGAAATATACCTACATGTACATTATAAAACTGCAAGTTAGTATCATCTTGATAAATTCCAGTTGGCATAGTATTTATTCAGTTTTCTTATTTTTAA